CATGAGTTGGCTTAATTTCTAGAGTGAAGGTTTACTGCGGTTGCCTTTCACATCCGTTGGGCTGCAGCACCCACACTTCAAAGTCGAATATTGTCCTGGGATGGAAAACCAGGTAGTAGCCTATGGTTATGTCTTCTGAGAGAATGAAATCTTTGTACCCATCCACTAATGTTCGGCAGTTGTTCACGATAGTCAATGTTATCTCGTACTTACGAACCTCAATGTTCTCGATACTGAACCTTTATGGAAACACGAAACCACGGTAATAGTGGTGTGTGGCCAGGGGAAATTCCTGGATGCATACGTTGTGGTTTTATTTTAATGAAATAACAATGTAAAAGTGAAAGAAACAAACTTACCATCGTATGGAGCGTGGTATCGACAACAACCTTGAAAAAAATAGGACCAGTAGCATCAACATCCATGTTGTCCATCCTGTATCTGTGGTCACAAGATTTCAAACAATATAATAAAGGAGAATGGCATAAACAACCTCAACACCTTTCATTTGCAGTGATACAAAAAAATACAAATAAACAACACATCAAGACCGAGAAGAGAATTCACAGGACCATATTACAAAGTTTTTCATACGTCAAATTCATCAGTTATACATTAAAAAGAACCAACATAACTAATATATTAACCAGCAAAATAAAACAACCACATCAACTACTAAGTCTTCAAAACTCAAATCAAAACAAACACATCACACATATAGTAAGTCTTCAAAAGCCATATCACAAACCCCACATGAACTAGTCACTTCTATCAAAAAAAATCAATGCTATTAAAAGTAGCCTACAATCGTCCTTCGTGCATCATTTTCACCATGAGACATTTGTTGTCTTGGGACAGGCTAAAGAACATGGAGAGTTCTTGTGGGTTCTTAGATAAACGCATGATGATAACTATTTTATCATTATTTGACAAGAAATTCATGTTAGACAATGAGTCAAACACTACACTTCTTTTTTTCTCCTCGTGGTGCTCAAACCCAGCATACTTGCAACGCCATTCAAGCTTTCTGTTGTCTTTTGAGAGATTGATTCCATGATATCCAGAAATCGTCCTTCCCACTGGCTCTCTGCAATCCTTTTGGTAATTTTCTTTCTCTTTCGAACCCTCGTACCGGACTCAGACGTCGTACCATATTTGTTACCCATGACTGGGTTTACCCATGCCAAGACTTGGGGATTCATCTCCGATGTTTTGATCTAGTGGGACGTCGTCATTATCCGACACCAGGTTGTCCTGCGGTGGGACATCATTTGTTGCGTCCTCGAAGGCCTGTGCATTTTCACCTGTTGCTTTATCTTTCCCAAAAATTTCCGCCCATTCATTGATGTACGGAAAAGACTTGTTCCTCAGTGATTTCGCATTTGGATCTACCTACATTATTTAAATACGACGAATGTGCAGAAATGTTTATGGCGATGGTTTGTTTTCCTAAAGTTTTTTTTTTTTGGTCTGTTACAACATTAATTGACATTAATGGACTTGATATTTGAGTATTATCTCACCTTCAACCATCTTGTTCAAACTTTATCATTGCAGGAAAAAGTTTTAGTGGTCTCGCTCTAGTCGAATCCTGAATTAGACTTGATGAGTGCCACACTTGCACAGTTTTTTTCTCCACACATGAATCTTTAAGCTGATGTGTGGGTCTGCACGAAGGGTACAGTTTGGAAACTTCAACTTCAATCTTCTTTCAACTTCAAAATTGTACCCCTGCCTAAAACCATTACCATCTCTCTACCCCTTTAAAACCATGTCTTTCAGAAAGTCTACTAGGGCAGCCTCCTCAGCCAGACTCCAAGTACACCGTCTTGCTGTTTGTCAGGATGACGCTCGCCCAGTTTCCTGGCTACATGAATAGTCCATGGTGGTACCTGTTCTACCAATCGTTTCTATTGTAAATATTTTTTTCGGAGTAGAATCGAAAGATTCGACACTGGGTCGTGTCTCTCGAGGAAGGCTAGCCGAAATATTTTGTACGTTTACTCAACCACACAAACGAAAATAAAATAAATAAAATTCCTAAACATACTAAGTCAGAAATGGTTTTAATTTTTAATTAACAACTACTACGAGAATTCAAATTAAGCAAGTAAATAGCAAGCGAACACGTAGAACGAGTAAGATTTACGAAGCTAGGGAGTCGGGGATATCCGTTTTGGTTCAAATGTAATTACCAAGCAAGAGATTGGTCGGTTAAGTGATTTGAATAACCAGCACGTTCAAGAAATCGTTCTTAATAACTTTTCGTAACAAGAGAACAAACTTAAACAACAAGTTAACAAGTCATTTAACACCTAGGCAATACAATAACGGACAAGCCTAGTTTATACGAGCCTATTTCGACTGACTCCTCCCCTTTCGGTTCTACGAGTCGATTAAATTGAACTACATGGTGATTAATCAACCAGTCCGATTCGAAATCCTTTCATCATGCACGAATTAATCAAATTCATGTGGAACAATGGGAAATTGAAGTGTCACCCTTCAACAATTCTTAAAATTCAAGAACAATGATCGAAAACCCTAATAAAGATTAACTCGCACAAATTGAACAATCTTGATCCCGACAATCACCAACAAATTCAAAACATATTCTGATGAAATGAACACAACAAAAACACAGAGAAAGAAAATTTTAGCTTCTCTGTGTATTTGTGTTGTGGGTTGTGACTTGTGAGTAAGTTTGACAGTGTTTTGTATAACATGAGTGTATTTCTTTTTCAATAAAATATCTGCAGTAGTCCAGAGACGTATGCATTATTGGCCGAACTCCGTTATCAATAATTGGTGTGTCCAATTTTTATTTCACTTTTATAGATCACATTTTATGGAAATTTCAGCGTATTTTTCCCAACAAATAAAACCCCTAAAATTGATAAAAAAAAAAAAAAGAACTACCTTTTTTTGTATCATTCGATAACACATACCATATGAAAGATCAAGGCATCCAAATAATAAAGCATAATTAATATTCAATAAGTATAATATGTACAGAAATTCCATGCATTCTCAGCAAGATGTACATAAATATCCCAAATATAAAATGAAGGGTAAAAAGAGAAGGGAACACCAAAGAATAGTATACTATTTGTATGCTTCCATAAGTTAAAAACAGAAGTCCCCAAACATTCTTGCCTAACAAAATCTATCTTGGCTCGCCCCAACCCCTCTCAGGTTCCAATAACCCCATTGCCATTCCAACAAGTGAATGCATAGACAATTTGTGCCTGTAAAGCCCAACAGTCCCTGAGAATATATTGAAGCTCTCGAGCTCGGTTGTAGTCTCCACAACATGCTCGAGCTCTTCCTTCATACCCAGACTCTTGAAAACCCGTACATTTGTCTCGTCATTTTTCATCATCCAGATCGCCAGCTCTATAGCGTACCTTCTTATGCTCGGGACTTTGGTTGACGGGTGGCGATATTTCTTTAGGATCATGAAAAGCCGATGAGCTAGGTCGAATTCATTGAGCCCTGCCTGTCGGAGCATGTTTTTCGAGTTGTGAGGACTCAACAGCCTGAAAATGCCAGCCCCTGCACCAGTCATCACTTCCTGCAGTTTGTGCTCTTCTTTCATGATGGCTTCAAGAATCTGCAGATGTGGAGATAGTTTGTGTAAAGGGTTTTTGCAATTTCAAAAAAGTGATGGGGCCTTTTCGCAATTAATCATAACAGTTTAAAATTGCAGATATCACTTACTACAGGTGCAGCAGCTGTTAATCCCTTGAGTTCCTGGTAGCAATCGTCCCCACCATAAGCACACAAGTTCCTCAAAACCCTAGCACCATTGATCCTCAGCAATGGAACTTCCAAAGCCCTAATTAGCTTCTCACTGAACCCCATCCTAAGCATCCTCGCACAAGTGTTCTTACTCTCCAAAGCCAGCATGGCCAGGGCCTCCCCTGCGCCGGCCCGAACCCGGCCCCAATCCTCCGGGATCCCATCGTCAAAGAAAATGCCGAACAGCACCTTGATCACGCCACCGGTCCCGCCTATCCTCTCCGTTGCCTCATCCTCAATGGCCAGGCTCGTCAGGATCTCGATCCCCAGCATCTGCAGCTCCGGCTGCTTCCCGCCGTACTTCAATATATCCCTAATGTTGCCCACCGTGAAAACTATCTCCGATATCTCCTTTCTCAGCTGCTTGCCCGCGTGGCCCGCGGTGCCCGCCAGCATCTTCAGAACCTGCAGGGACCGCTTGACGGTCGCTACCTGAGAGGGCGCCGCCGTCGGGTGAGTCAGCAATCGCTCGTCCGCGTGCGTGAAATCGACTATTTTCGGCAACAGGCCTTTCGTGTTCCCTATTTTCCCGCAAATGTCGTGGTCGCGGGCCAATTTCTTCAGGATCTGAAGCCCGACGTGGTTGAAAGCCCACGAACCATAGTTTTCGTTGTCTACAATTGTTTTCTTATTTGATATATGGTCACAAGCGCCGCTGTGGGCCCGGCCGTCGTGAAGGAGGGACGAAATCGACTCTAGTGCCCCCGGGATCCCGGCTATGCGGGACAAATTTTGAGTTTTACCGGCCAGTCTCGACAGAATCTCCGCGGCCGAGTACCGAATCTCCTCCTCCTGGTGGTCCGTCCAGTTGAGCATCTCGACTAGCCGCTCCATGACAGGCAAGCTGATCCCGATCTTCTGGAGGGTGTCGTCCGAGAACCTTGGGCTCGCCGAGAACTGCCTCAAAATGCGGACCCCAATCAGCTGCTCGTCGGGTGAGCCTGAGCCCAGGAGTTCCATCCCGAATGTGACCATGTCCATCTTCAGGCCATCAAATATGCTCCCGTTCACACATTTGGAGTAGGCATCGTAAAAGAACCGTCGTATGGAAATCAGGCCAGACTCCCCCAGTTCACAGTCTCTGCTGACAGACTCGAGCAGTTTCTCGAAACTCACCTTCCACTCCCAATAAGTCTTCTCTAAGAGGAAAAGCAGTGCCTCGGCCAGGGCCAGCGAGTAGAATATGAAGAGGGCTGATTTCCTGTTCCTTTTGTCTGTGTCTCCCTTTTCCACCTCCCCAAAATCTTGCCTAACAAGCTTTATAAGGGATAACACCACACAAGCCATGGCCGATGCTAGTTGGAGCCAGTATAGAAGCTTGCTCACGTTTTTCGAAATAAAGACCCATTTTGCATAAGGCAAGAGAGGAACCTCGGAGCTCGTCCACATCCTCGTGGGTGTTCTTCGCTCGTCCCACTTCGTTCGGCTGGAATAGTTTCCCGCCCTTGAGATCTTTCTACTGCCGTTGTTTGTCTTGAAAACGGCTTTAACCTTTGTAACTATGAAATTGGAGCTGGATTTGAGTGCTCGGAAGCTATTGATACCAACATCGGTTATGGACCAGGTGGCCTGGTGCTGCCACTCAAGCTCATGGCTACGACTGAAAATCCGAGTACCCTCGATTAGGAGGATGACAGTTATGAACCAGAAGTCGGTTTTCGAGAGGGTTATGGCAAAACCGCCAAGTAGGACAACCGTGGCCCATATGAACCCGAGAGTGCCTATCCCGGAAGCTGATTTTTCGAGAATGGCGAGGCGGAGGGCAAAAAGGGTGAGTTTTTTTTCTGGGGCTTTTACGGGTGGCCTTAGGACAGGCGTCTCGTTTAGAGTGCTGCTGGGTTTCGTGTCGATGGCAGTGGTTTGGGGCTCGAAAATTGTAGGGCTGCTGTAGTTGATGCTGCAGCTGCCATCCAGTTTCTTGTTGAGGTCGGAAATTTGGAGGCGGATGCTGGATTCAGTTTCCGAATTTGACGCCTCGCCAAACATGTGATTGTCTTTTGAAGTGAAAAAAGTAAGGGTTTCGACTGTTTGTTTTATGGAAACGGATTTTAGCATGCAGAGAACATGACTTTTGAATGGGAGAAGAATTATTAGCTCCAAAATGAATGAAGGACAACGTGAAAAGTAGAGGAAATTTTGCCTGAGAAGATGTGTTGGTGTGACTTGGCTGTGGTTTTATATTGGCTTTTGAAAATATTGGAGAACAATGGTATGTTTGTATTTAAGAAAAGAAGAGAATTGTTCTTGGGGCTTTAGAGAAAGTGAGATCTTGGCTTCGAAAAACTAACTAGAATGCCAAGTTTTTGCTTGAGCTCTGGCTACTGTTGGATGATGTTCGGACACAGGTTTTATTTTCATCTATTAAGTGAATTTAGAGGATGGTTAGTAGGTTTTAAATTGATACTTAGCGGGGACATAAACTGAGCTTAGGGTGCACGTTTTTGGTCATCTGGAATGGAGGAAAGATAACTGCAAAGTAGCGTCTCTTTTTGCTTTGCTTTTATTTTTTCTTGGAAAGTCGGTTATAAATTTTCTCTTTCTGTTTTTTTCCTTTTCTTCCTGCTTTCTCTTGTTTGTTGTTCTACTTTTGTGTCATTAGGCTACGAGATTCACCCTTTCTTAGGATAAAGTTAAAATCTAATGTTTATTCGGCAAATCTAATGTTTGGAAAATGCCACGGCCCTTTAGGGAACTTTTTCGTCGAGTTTGTAAACGTTAGATCATTATGTAACTGTCGAAAATAGTTGATCTATCGGTTGCAAACTCCATCAGACCGTAGCATCTCCCTGTTCGTAGGCGCAACTGGCTATTCAATAAAACTGCATGATATCGTTTCAAGTTGACCTTTATTTTTCATATTCCCATATAACTCTAATTTAATGTTACATGATGATCTATTCATGCGAGAAGGTCAATGCTGTACGAACTTCCAATTAAAATGACATGGATTTTATTTGAAGTTAGTTTCTATTTGTTTAGTTGAAGTTGAAATAATTATTATAGTTTTCCCAACAATAAATTAAAATTCGAGGGTATGCTGAAAAATACTCAGATAAATTCAATGACTAGTTTCATTATTTGTGATAATGATAATTAGAGTAGGTATTGTATTCAAGATATTTTTAAAGTGCAACATGATCAATTAGTTGGTCATGGCTTGCAGCACAGGACAACAAGAAGTCTTATTGCTGGTGTGGCTTGCAGGATTGGATAACAAGAAGTATTCTTGTGTCAAGTTAAAGGCTTTGATAAATGGGTCCCTGTGACCTCTCATTTCTTTGGACAATTTCGTTGAGTATAAGAAAATGCCTGTCTTCCCCAAATAAATAAATAAAAATAAAAAGGATGAGAAGAAACGGAACATCTTCTTTCGGTTATGTATAATATTGTAATAACAATTTTGTTAAATGACCAGTGCCAAATGCAAGGGCTGAGCCCCCTAGTCAAGGCCACGGGCCATCCAGCCGGCCGGTGTAACCTGGACTGGCCCGGAACTGGACCGTGGTCAACGGGCCCAGGCCTGAACCCGTAGTTTGACCGGACCGGTTCCGGGCCTCATATATAAATTTTTTAGCCTGCCATGGTTCAGGCCCACCATTTTTCCTTTTTTTTTTTT